AAGCAACAAGAAGTTGGAAAAAGTAAACCAGATTTCTTCTGCCAGTGCCATTAGCACTTGGTTTGTTATAAAAAGTAGTTTTTATAACTTTTTTGTTATAAAAACTGGAGCCAACAGTGGGCTATTCTTTCTCCCAGCAGACAACCTTCAGCTCCATTAATTTCAGGGCAAACCACAGACACATTTGAAAGAAGAATCTAACCCTTTATAAATAACAGTGTTTTGGGGCCAGTAACAAATGCTGGCTAGATCCTGAAGGGGATGAGTTGCTACACAGCTGCTTCTGAATCACACAGCCACGCTCTTATGAAGTCCATGTTAGTTTATTTGTTCCTGTTCTCAGCAGTAAATCCAAGTTTGCAGAGTGGTGTATAAAGTCCTGGTCTAGCAGAAAATTGTTCTTTTTGTGATAAGGACGCATACAGTCAATTTTTACTTATCCCTGGACCAGTTAATCAAACCATGATTCAAAGTTTATTTTGAGCTCTGTAACTTAAAATGTTCTGATTTCTTTTTCAAATCAAGCTTGTAAGGACAGATTTTTTTACCATGGACTCATCAGTTTTTATTTTGTGAGACATGATTTTCATAATGGGAATGAATTTCAAGTCTCTCTCCTGCATATGTGTTGTAACACTCTTACACATAGTTCAGTAAAGGTTTTTACAGCTGTCATCAAAATTACACACACATTGTCACATCTGTGTAGTCTAATTGCATAACTGGCTGTGATGGCACCACTTACCTAGAGAGACAATACACAACTAAAAGTTAAAAATAAGGAAAAATGGTAGGAAAAAACTTTTACCTTCTGTCAGCAAATGAGCATGTCCCTCTTCTAATGAGATTTGAATATTCATAACAAGGTTAAAGGAGTCTTCATTATTGCAATAGGTTATTGATTAATAAGGACACTTGCATTGGCTCCCAGAATTACTGTATTATTCAGGTATACTCAAACTGGCACAAGTATTGAAGTCTCATTTTATACCCACACAGCTGTATTGATCTTTGCCCTTAGACAACTTCTGAGTCTTACGTTCATGCTCAGACTACTGATAATCATTTTATGTATTGGATTTTCAGCCATTCATAGCTATCAATAAATTTCCAAAAATCATGTGTTCACATAAATAGGGCCCCAGCAAAGGGATTTTGAACCAGATAGAGGCCAGGATATTGTCCAGTGCAGCCTGTGCAAAAGAAAAACAACAAGAAATTGATTTCGCCAAGATCTTGCAAATACAACTTAGGTCATTCGTCCATTATCCCAAAAACCTAAATGGATGGTGGCAGTAAAATAAGACTTCTTTGATTTTAATTCAGGTGAGCAACAATATTCAGACAATAGCTTGAAAATTAAATTATTTGGCTCATCTACAAGAATTTCTCATGTATGGGCGGTAACCACCACTAGTAGTCCAACCATTTTAATGAACCCAAAAATTCTCTTTGATTTTTTTTAAATCATAAATGACTTCTAGCTGTCTTCATTACTACTACTTTTTTTTTTTAATTCATCTACTTAGATGTCTTTTCAGATTTTTTCATTCACAGGCATTAATAGGATGCCAAAATCTATGCATTTCCACTGCATAGATTGCTGGATTAGGGAGGGTGTTTACATGGAGGCTGCCCCATGGCAGCTCACAGCAGCTCTCCCACCCCATTACCCACACGATGAGTGCAGGTACACCAGACCTGTGCAAGCCCTGGGTGCTCTGGCAAGGCAGTAGGAAATGGGGCCTTTTTATGAGTTACATGAAAAATGCCTGATAGCTGCCAGGTCTGCAATGAAACTGGGTTTGAGTCTTTCACAGGCTCTCTGCCATCTAATCAGAAAGGAAAAACAGAGGCATCACTCTAACTCCGTTTCAGAGCTACCCATCTGAAACCCTATAAAATCCCTTAAAAAGATTAAATTAATACTTCTTCTGAAATTTATCTGGCAGTACAGGACCTCACTGCCCAGTTTATAGAGGTTATGAGTTACAACAAACTCCAGGTTATTCTTCTATTCCTAAGCACGAGAAAACACCAACAGGCAAACCAAGAGCAAAGGGAAGCAGGGAGTGGTCCAGAGAAAGTGAAAGTTCTCCAATAATTTTACCCGTAAGTGTATTACATTTAGGAAACTTTCCCTTTTTTTTGTCTTCCATTCCCTTATTTTATTTATTTTCTTCTCTTTTTGACTTGATGGGATTTTACTGAAGAACAGGGGAACATACCAAAATCCTACAGAAAGGTCTTTTTCTTTTTCTCTTTTTGTTTTATCTGTTAAATGTCACAAAGATTTTCCAGATCAGTACAGCTAACCTGTGCTAATTAAGCTGTTAACGTGGGTGTTAAATGAGGCTTAGGCAAATGATAAGTGCCTGTGTCCTGATGGATTTCACACTGTGTCTTACACCTCAAAGCCATCACAAGGTTATAGCCACCTGATTATTGATTGACTCTAGAACTCTCCATTATACTTAATACTTTATGGACTACTTGCAGTACTGGCCGAGTGGAGATCATTAAAGAGTACCATCTGCTGTAGTTAACATGCAAAACAGCCTCTGAGGAGCTACAGGATTTTGTCTGGACTGTACCTGGCAGGATTTTATTCACTTAGAAATTTAAGCTTCCTTAGTCCTTTTTCCAGAAAAGAAAAATAGTGGGAATGGTGCAGCTTTTCCCCACAGTCACACTCCCATGTTGAGTCTGGAACTGAGAGATGAAGATCCTTACCTCAGGAAGGTATCTGTCTTTAAGTTGTTGTGTATCACAGTCAGCCTCAAAGTTTCTCCATACTTACTGCAACACTTTCCAATGGCTTAAACTTCAGCACAATTTGAGTGGGCTGGAGAATTCTTCTTTGCCTTTAACCTGTCCACAGATGCACAAGACGTGTAAAATAGGTTTATTTTTCTCCCTAGCCCATACCCTACAGTGAGTGTGGATGTACCAAAAACTTTAGTATGGGAACATGTCTTCCAGAGAGTGGACAAAAAAGTCAAATCTGTACTGGCTTGTCAGTGCTTGTTATAAATCAGTGCCAAAGCCATGTATTAGTCCACAGAAAGGAAAAAAAAAAAAAAAAAAAAAAAAAAAAAAAAAAAAAAAAAAAGAAAGAATAGTTTCAGAGTTATTGTCTATTTGCCTCCAATTGTTATTGACACTGTCACTCCCATGAGATTCTGCTGTTTAACTGCAGATGTCTGCATCTGGCTTTGCTGTTTAAATGCTGTTAGGGGACAACTGACACAAATTCATCCTTCTGACTTTTTCTGTCTTCACAAAGTAGACATGTAAAATAAGTCAGATGACTCATGTCTTCGAATAAGCATTTGCCTATTTGTAGGCAGCCATTGGCTCCAAAGGGGATCTAGGGACTAGCTTGACATAAGTACTCACACCTGAGGTTTCTGAAATTAGTGAAATGAAACTCTTGCTGTGGATCTGTTTGCTATTGAAACAAATATCAAGCTTAAGATGGTATATGTACAAACAGGCTCCCCTCCATTAGGCTGGTATGTGATGGCTTCATTGCCCACCCTAAGACTGACTTTCTCAGGCTGTTGAAAAATATAGCCTTGGCTTCTGTGGAGTAGAGAACACACAGTGCAGGAGGATCCTAGTCCACCCTAGAGAGTGGATTTTTTCATCTCCAGAGAAATGAGATATCCTGAGTTCTACATCACATCTAAAATTTACTGAGAACCTTAAGGGTAACCAATACATGTGATGCATAAAACCTAGTGTAATAATAATTCTAGGTTTCCAACTTTGCCAAAAGCCAAAGAAAAGTGATTACAATATCAAACATTTGCAAACAGAAAAGAAAATCCCTTGTCCACACTCCTCATATGTTATGTGGCCTTATCTTCAAATGCTTTCTAATCTCTTCCTTTTATTAAAAATTAGTTCTCTCCTTTGCTGCTTCAGCACCATTGCTAGGCAGGAGTTGGTCCTGTCAGTTCCACCCATCTGTGGATCATCTCAGAGACTAACCCTGAACTGAGCAAAAACAAAGTCATCATTTTAAAATTTGCTAATATGTATTTAGAACCTGCCAGAGCTCTCATGTGGTACCAAGTATGTGACAGTGACCCAGAAAGAGAAATGAGCAGGAATTATTCATGCTTTAGGTGAAGAATCCTTCTCCCTATTCTCTTTCACTCCCTTGGATAGGAGGACAGCAATGCATCAGGACTGCACACCTTCACCCAAGTCATGGTCCATATAGTGCCGCTTGTTTCTCATAGCAAATTTCTCTGCTTTAGTCCCCTAAATATCACCATAAGGAAACAGCACTGTCCTAAAAGGGCATAGGTAGGACAAACATATACAATATGATGCTGTGAGAGCTTCACTGAAGAAATTCAAAACCTGCCTAGACATGATCCTGTACAACCTGTTCTAGGTGCTTTTAGCAGGGGGATTGGACTAGGTGATCTCCAGAAGTTGAAAGCCCCTTTTAGCCCCAACCATTGAGTCTGTGATTTGTGTTCACGGAAAGGATAAGGATCAGAAAATAGCTCATAGCTAAATGTTAGGCTGTGACTGCACTGGACTATGGAAGCTATGTACTGAAGGACAATCAACAAAAATATATATCTATTCTGTACATTAAAATTGTTCTGTCTAGGTAGCCTGTTGATTTACTCTGCAGCAACATGTTAGGACCTTAACAATAGGAAAAGCATTGCATCTTAAATTGCTGCACTGTCTTTATAAACAGCCTTGTATCAAATCACAAATAAAGGTATGTTGCCCGTCAATAAAAAACTCCAACTTCAGTAAATAGAATTTACACACTTGGAAGGGGAGGGTGGGGAAGAAAAAAACTGTGTCCATACCTGGAAGTTAAAATGGACTTGGAATGGTTCAGGTGAGAGGCTTATCAAGATAGAAGTGTTGAATCTGGTGTGTCTCTATGTGAAGCATTTTATCAAATTTAAGTACCTGACATGTTACTCATCAGCTTCAATCTCTTCTCTTTCTTCTCTCATCAGGAGGCCAAGAGGACTGCATCCTTTCTTATGAACCTGTCACAAGACAGGAAAGTAAGTTTCATCTTCTTCTGTATCACTCTTCCTTATGTTTTTCATTTCAGAGTTTGGGGGCCAGCAGAGCGGTAAGCCTTGCTCTGCCAGTCCCAGATTCACTGTGGCTTCCTTTTCTTGGACACTCAGTCTATTTTTATATGAAAAAACCTCTGATGTTATAGTATTCCTTGGAAGCCACCACTTCTTAACATTCCCAGGACTCTTCTTCCCAGTACATTCTCATGGACTTTACCAGTACAAAAAATTAATCAGTCTGCAAAATATTGATGTAGATTTTCTAGATTTACTGCAATATTGTCACATAGAAAGCCTTTATTATTTTGCTTCTCACGTGCTATGTGCCACTCTCCAGGGTAGATAAACATGGAAAGGCAACTTAAAATGGGAGTACATCCATCTGGTTTAATGGAGGATTCCCTCATATAACTTGAGGTGGAAAAAGGGCTACAATAGCCTTTCCATACCTCATGGAAGAGTCCATCTGCAAGCATTTGGGAGTGGCATTGTTGAGTGATAGCAAATGTATCTATGCTTCTACACAGTCACTTGACTTGTGCATGGACCATCACAGAGCTCTGCAGTGGTACTCATTCCATTCCCCTTTTTCATGTCAAGAAATAAAATATTAATCAATAAAATGTGCACCTATATTTTCATTTCATACATAAAGACAAAAACTCTGGTTAGTGATATTTGGGTGCATTTATTTATTATTGTGGTAAGACCATCAAAATGTGATCCTTTTGTTTTTCAGTTAATTACACCAGGCCAGTTATTATTCTGGGTCCTATGAAAGATCGGATCAACGATGATTTGATATCTGAGTTCCCTGATAAGTTTGGGTCATGTGTACCACGTAAGTATGATTCCACTCCTAGTTCTGAAGCTGAGTGAATGGTATCCCTTGGTGCCACACGTTAAGTAAATTTCTACAAAAGCAGCATCCGTGAACTATGCATAGTTATGTTTCTCAAAAGTCATTTTTTCATCAGACAGAAAAGGCAAAAAGAATGAATAAATTTAAAAAAAAAATTAAAGGTTGTGAATGTCTGAGAAAAAATTCTGAAAAGTTTGAAATTCCAGTAAAATGTTTCAACTCAATTGCACAGCATCCACCAATGAATATACAGAATTATCTGTGATTTGTGTGAGATATAGACTGTTGAATCAGAAAGCAATGTTAGACCCTGAATTAAACAGACCATTTATATATTGGACAATTAGAGCTTGCTGTTTATTTGTGGGCCTAATTGCAGTCGTACTTCATTTTAAATGGTTGTCTCTGGCAGTACACTAACTTAAAACTACTAGAGATGAGAACTAAATCAGGCTTATAAATAAGGCTAAATTGAGTTGATGAGATAACAATTCATTTTATCAATGTAATAACATTAAATTTAAAATATGAAATGCATTTTGTATTTGAGGTTTGTGTGTGATTCTGCTGAAAAAGTGGAATTCTGGTAAACCCTAATTTTATTTTCGCCTGTATTGATTGGAGGTAAACATCAGAAGGTATTACTACAAAAAGACAGCTTTACTGGCATTGCTCCATTAAAAACAATATGAAGTAGCCAGAGATCTGCTCTCAGATGTGAAGTGCCCTCACTTAGAGCAGACCCAACATTGCCCACTGAGCAAATTATGGTGGCATTTTTCGCACTAAATGTTTTTTCAGGCTTCTTCATCTTCTGTCTTTTGTTTCATGCAGATACCACACGGCCAAAGCGTGACTATGAAGTGGATGGGAGAGATTATCATTTTGTCATTTCAAGAGAACAAATGGAAAAAGATATCCAAGAGCACAAATTTATAGAAGCTGGGCAGTACAATGATAATTTGTATGGAACTAGTGTCCAGTCTGTGAGATTTGTGGCAGAAAGGGTAGGTTGACAGTAGTTTTATTGCTGGTGCAACATGATCTGCTTTGTTTCCAAATTGTGTCTCAGACATGATTGTCTGCCAAAAATATAAAATAGCTACAAAATGGCATCCTAATATTTATTGGCTTTGTAATGACTGCACAGGTGGAGTCTCTGACTTTGAATGACATCATCCTTGGCACTGTCTGTACATGGATGAAGTGCCATGAATTCAGGGCTCTAACACAGTGCCACACGTACTCCTCAAAACTGCCTCTACTCTTCCCTCTGTAAGAGTAGATAAACTAAATCACTTTCACAGAGGCAAAAGAACGAACCACAGAAAGATTAAATTATTTGCCTCAGGTGATACAGGGAGTCTCTGGTGTAAACAAGAACTGAATTAATCACTTAGAACATGGAGATCCTATTGCTTTTATTAACTGATTTTCCTCATCTCAAGAAAATCCTCCTGCCCCTGCAAATTTCCTCCCAGTGAAAAATAAATCCCAAGTTTGTTCCCATATCACCAGTGCATATTTATACTGGCACCAAAGCAAAGGAAAGAACGCAGTGTAGTGGAGTGCATGCCCTGGGCTACCCCTTCCCTGGTGTGCCAGTAATGGCCCCATTCCAGGGCACTGCATTGCAGATTTGCTTCCTTTCTTTTGGCTGATCTGCAGCAAAGTCTGCAAAAATAATAAACACATGCTCTCTCTTTCCAACAGGGCAAGCACTGTATACTTGATGTGTCAGGAAATGCTATCAAACGACTACAGGTTGCACAACTCTATCCCATTGCTATCTTCATTAAGCCCAAATCATGGGAGCCTCTGATGTGAGTATAAACTTCTTCAAGCATTTTATTCTTTTCGGGTACAGCCTCAAGTGGCACCACACAGGTCTTGAGCCTACATTCAGCTTGTTCTCTAAAATTATTAATAATGAGATGATGTAGGAAGAGTGCCCTCAAAACCTGTCATCCACTATCCTGGTATCTCAGGGATCAAGCCATAGCTTTAAACCTTTCAGACTGGCACATGTGGGATTATATGCTGGGCACAAAGGACTCCCTGCCAGTGGTTGGTGTACTTTCTCCAACCTGTGCAACGAGTTCATCAGGGACTCACACACACAGCTTGCCTTGTCCCATGCTTCCTTGGGTGCTCTTGTGGTTTACAGCCTGGCCAAGGGCACGAACCAGGGGTTAAACCTGTGTCAGACTTGAGGTATGTTCCTCTTCAGCAGCCCTTCATTTACCTGCAGGTCTGTAAGAGGACAGGCAAGGAGCCATGGGACTGGAGAAGGGCAAACAACACTTACAAGAATGAATGAGAAGGCACCAGCTCTGTACTGCCAAGACTGTCTGAGGGGACACACACTTTGGGGGTTAAGATCAAAACTCAATGTAAGATCAATAAGATGAAATTCAGCAGAGACAAAGGAGAGACAATGAAAGGCATGAGTACAAGCAGGGAATAATTTAGCTATAGCACTGAAGAAAAGCATCTGGCAGTTGGGGTGGATCACAGGAATGAATGGGTATGTAGTTGCAAAAAAAGGACCTTGCCATTGTGTATTCATATTCACATTCATATTCATATTGTATTAATATCAGTGTTGTGTAGGACACAATAGACTGCTATTTTGTTTTATTGGGGCCTAATCTGGAATGCTGACCTGATTCTGGGTTCCGCCCTGCTGGCGGAGGGGGAACAGCAATTATCTAGTGTCACAAAGAGAAGGCTGAGGAGGAAATATGGAATTGATATTCATCCTGAGTTAAAATTCAGGATAAAATACATGGTTATCAATTTGTTTTCCATGTACACTTACAGTTATACAAGAGCTATCAACTTAATTTGCTGTGATAGGGGTGAAATTTTGAACTCTGTGACAGTTCTGTCTAATATCTTTATTGATGACATCGATGAGGGTATTGAGTCTTTCACTAGTAAATTTGCAGACTACACCAAGCTGGGAGTCTGTGTCGATATGTTGGAAGGTAGGAGGGCTCTGCAGACAGACCTGGAATGGCTGGATGGATGGGCAGAGCCCAATAGGATTAAGTTTAATAAATCCAAGTGCCAAGTCCTGCATTTTGGCCACAATAACCTCCTGCAGAGCTACAGGATGGGGATGGTGTGGCTGGACAGTACCCAGGCAGAAAGGGACCTGGGGTGCTGACAGCCGGCTGAACATGAGCCAGCAGTGTGCCCTGGTGGCCAAGATGGCCAAGGGCATCCTGGCCTGGATCAGGAATAGTGTGGCCAGCAGGAGTAAGGAGGTCATCCCTCCCTATACTCAGCACTGGTGAGGCCACACCCTTAATGCTGCATCCAGTTCTGGCTCCTCAGTTTGGGAAGGATGTTGAGACACTTGAGCACATCCAGAGGAGGTAATGAGGCTGGAGAGGGACTTGGAACACAAACGCTGTGAGGAACAACTGAGGGAGCTGGGAGTGTTTAGCCTGGAGAAAAGGAGACCCAGAGGTGACCATATCACTCTCTACAACTCCCTGAAAGCTGGTTGTAGCCAGGTGGGTGTTGGTCTCTTTCTCTAGGAAGCCACTGACAGAACCAGAGGACACAGTCTGAAGCTGCACCAAGGGAAATATGGGTTGGATATTAGGAAAAAGTTTTTTACAGAAAGAGTGATCAAGTACTGGAATGGTCTGCCTGTGGAGGTGGTGGAGTCACCATCCCTGGATGTGTTTTAATAACAGACTGAATGTGGCACTCGGTGCCATGGTTTAGTTGAGGTGTTAGGGAATGGGTTGGACTCGGTGACCTTGTAGGTCTCTTCCAATCCAGTGATTCCGTGATTCTGCGGTTCTCTGATTCCCCTCCCTCATTGCTCTGCAAATGCCAGGTTGTGCCATAGGTTTGACAGCTAAAACATTGGCACTCCCCCTCCTGTGACAGATCTGTGTCTGGTGATGGTAACAGTGTACCTGCAGCCACCGGTCACAGAGCTGGAGAATTCCAACATGACCCATCCGTGGAATATGCATTCTTCTTGGCCCTGCCTTGACAATGAGCATATTGTATGTCTAGTCACATTACAAGGAATGATGTGCAATATCTGGTACTTGCACAGCACCATCCTGACTTCTGATTTTTCTACCAGCCTACAACACAATAATATTCTGATTTTGTTGCTGTATAGAAGGGGAAGGGTAGTCTGATAGCCTGCCTTCTGCACTGATTGTTTTAACAGAGATCTTGACATACAGTTTTCCCATTCATAAAACATTTCCATTATTTGTTTAATGCTGGCATTGCCTCTGGAGTGATTAAAAAAAACCCAAAGTAAATAAAAGTGGCCCTTACTCTAAAAAATACATCAGGCAGAACCAGAAAAGTGGCAATAATATAAAGGCTTTGTTGATTTGATGTTATAACAGAAAATCCTTGAATAGACTGAATAATGTTGTAAAGATGCAAACTATTATGACAATCATTCTGGTGTTGGACCAAAGCAATGCTAATAGTTCACTTAGGGCAATAAAACAAGTGGGCTGTTCAAGAAATGCCTGGACTTGGCACTCAGTGCTATGATCTCGTTAACAAGGTAGTGATCAGTCAAAGGTTGGCCTTGGTGATCTTGGAGGTCTTTTTCAACTTAATGATTCTGTGATTCAGTCTTTTTTATGTATGTAAGTACTGCAACACAAAAAAAAATATAGGCTTATCTGTCATAACTATGACTCCTGTTCATACAAATGAGTTGAAAGCTACTTCAATAGCAAAGTCAAAACACAAAAGACAAAAAATTTTCATCACAAGATGCAGAGAAACAAAGACAAAAGATTTATCTTTCATCAAAATCAGCACATCAATTTGTAGTCTTTCATTTATGCATATACTCATTTGCAGCCATCTGAAGTGGAGGTAAGAAGAGTCAAGGGAGCATAAATCAAGTTTGCACCTGCACTTGAAAAACACGTGGCCATTGCTGTAAACAAACTGCTCCCTCTCCATCCCTCCCTCCATTCCTCTCTTCCCACTCCTACATGACTCCACCTGGTTTACTCCCAGAGTCATGCTTGTTCACACGCTCCAGTCAGGCTCTTTCTCTAGAGGAATGAGGACAGTGGTGAGATCATGGGGATGGAAGTAAGAAAGAACCCACCTGGATGAGCTCTTCACTGGAAGAGGAGGAAAACCCTGGAAAATATGCACTATATTTTGAATTCGCCAGCTGTGCAGGTCCCCAGCCTGCACACCCTAAGGAATAAGAAAGAGGAGGGACTGCAATATGGCAGCACTTTAATTTCATCATGAAAAATGGACATCATGGTCCTCCCCCTTCTCCATCCTCTCTTCTAAGGGCACAGAGTAGGCAGAGTCAGGAACTAGCACAGTTTTATACCCCAGGCAAATCTACAACCTGAAAGTGTAATGCAAATTTCTACCTGTTTCAAAGTATTTCCTATTTTAAACACTTGTTTATATTTGTATCATCTTTTCTGCTGTTCAAAAATCTTGAGAAAGACTTCTCAAAAATTTGCCAGAAAGAGATCTGAAAGGAAGAGGATGTTGTTAGCATTGCAATATTTGTTAAGTGCCCATAAGATGAAAATGTTAAGTTTGCCTAAGAATTTGCAGTGGTATGTCCCACTGCAAGACAGAGTTTTAGTTCAGTCAACTAAAGCAGGTGTAGCTGATGTGAAGTCCACCTGAACTTGATTAGATAGCAAACTTTCCAATAAATAGAATTAGTATTATTACAAGTTTAGCAGAACAACACATGGATTATATTAAACCTTTTTATATAATCTACAAATAGCTGACATAAATTTTAAAATAAATCTTTCTTAGCCTTCAATTTATAAACCTGCTTTCTCCATGGCATTAGTACTTGCAAAAAGATTTTTCTAAGTATTGTTCCCAGCTATACAGTTACTTATATAGATGGACAGCTTTAAGCCATTTCTGGAAACTCCTTTTTGTATCCTGGACATTTTCCAGGATGTTTTTCAGAAGTCAAGTAGGTGTTAGCTGTAGCAAGTTCATACTGTTGTGCACTTCATAGAGCTGCTTTTTTTTTTTTTTTTTTTTTTTTTTTTTTTTTTTTTTTTTCAAGCCCTTTTTAAGGGTTTTTTTTTTTTTTTTTTTTTTTTTTTTTTTTTTCTTTTCACTATCAAGTCCATAATTTCCTACATGCATCACCCATGGCACACTGTATACAGTCCATTACCACATAATCATATGATTCAGTGCAAGGCAGAAAATCACATTTATGCTCTCCTAGTTGCCTCAGAAAATTTTTGTCATGTTTTAAGAAAAAAAGACTCTACACTGGGAAAAAATGATAGAATAAGCTAACTCTATTATTGATAATTTAGACATTTACAGGTGTATGAGTATAAGGCAGTGAATGAGCATGATCTTGATTCATTGCAAGTATGCAGTGGTATTAATACCTGAGCATGCATGGACAAGACAACTCATTTCTTAAAGTTATTAAATAATGTTTCTTTTGAAACAGAAACACTCCATCAAATAACAAAACATTGAAAAAAACCACAATGTTATCATCTGTCTTTGTTTTCATATTTATGAGCAGCCAATAAGCAGTCAGTACAGCCTTATCCATCTGAGACCATCAGCTGAGTCTGGGATATACAGATTCCTGAAGGAGCTTCAGGCAGGAGTGCTGAGTGCTTAGACTATGGGGCATCCTGAATTCCAGACCTGTCTATGGGCTCCTGATGTCTCAAGTCTATCTCATTTAGCAGCTGCTAGACTCAGGCCTTGTATTTTGTTTGAGAATATAGAGTAGTGAACCCAAGATAAAAACGTGGAGGAGAAAAGTGAAATGGGAAACAGTCTGAAGAAGAAGTTTTATACTACCTAAGAATGAAATTGAATTGAAAATATTGAAGCTATCCATGAACTGTTGGAAGAATTTTACCATTTCATTCTTTTACCAGTCTCAATCCATCCGTGATTCAGTTAAGCATGCCTTTTGAAAACCATTCTAGCAAGAATCTAAACCTTTTGATTACTTCCTCCATGTTTCTAGGGAAATGAATAAACGTCTTACAGAGGAGCAAGCAAAGAAAACCTATGATCGAGCAATTAAATTAGAACAAGAATTTGGAGAATATTTCACAGGTATGTTTTATTAATACCTTTCTTTTCCCCAAGATATAGTCTTTTATTGCAAAACTACTGGATCAACCCTGTCTTTGAGCTAGAGTACCTATTAGTAGAGTATGCCCGGAGCAAGGACTTCTGGCTTGAGAGTATTGTTTCCTTGAAATTCAAGAGCAGTTGAGGCACTTGACTCAAAAGTTTGATGTCCTGAAGGAGTATCTATCTATGTGGAGGGAAATTAAGGAACAAACCTCTGTGCTTTGTGTTACAGTTACTTTACCTTCTGTCAGCTTGGGCTTGATCTTGTTAACCTCAGCAGCCAAGAGTTGAACTCATTATAATCAGATCAGAAAGGCTGCAAATCTGCTGCTGCCCTCTGCTGAAGTAGGTTCTAAATTGAATGAAGTGTAAAGCTTGACCTCCAACAGTGGGAATCTCTTGTGCTGCCCTCCCCAGGACAGAAGTGCCAGTTCTCTGAACTAACCTGGCTCAGTCTTCTCAGTACGAGCAGTGGGATGGGTCTCTGCCACAGGCAGGTGTCATTGATTTGAATTTAGTTGCCGTCTGCAGGGGTATGACTTTTCCATAAACATCTCAGTATGCCAGTATTCCTTCTCATTTCATGAGTATCTGTGAGTGTGCTGGAGATCTGCTGACACTGGATGCTATATCTATCAATTAAAAGAAATATTGATATGTTTTCTCTACTGCAGCTATTGTCCAAGGAGATAGCTTAGAAGATATATATAATCAATGCAAACTTGTAATTGAAGAACAATCTGGGCCTTTCATCTGGATTCCTTCAAAGGAAAAATTATAAATTAACCACTGCACCTCTGATTACGACGGGAGAATATTTAGAAGAAAACTATAATATACTATTTGGAGGCTTTCCTGTTTTTGTTGCATTTATGTTCTTTGCAGTCAATGTGAATTTTGATGAATGTACAACACAAAGTGTTTGAAGCCATGAAGGACACTGATGGGTCAAAGGGTAGGAACAAAAAGACTTCTACCGTATAAAGCAAATCTGTTGTGTGCTCAGAGCACGAGTTGTAGGTATAAACTTTTGACGTGGAGACCCTCTGTCAAAGGGAGCTAAGCCACCTCCTATGCCCACGTGGACATTTTGATCAATTTCAATGGCTGAGCTCAGTGTGTTGATTGCTTTAGAGAAGTTCCCAGCTCTTGAACCTCACAGAGGGCTTGATCCTGCAAGGCGCTCAGCACTTGACCCCAATTCCTACACATGAGTAGCCTGTTGACTTGGAGTCACTTGTGACCCTTCCCTATGCCCTTCAGTCCCACAGTTCCAGTAGGACTCTTCACGTGCTCAGAGCTAGGCACAGGCTTAAGCATTTTTGCTAGATCAGGGCCACATGCACCTTGCTAAATCAAGCTCAGAGTATTTGGTCCACTTCCTACTGAGGTCACTGTTGGGACACTCTGTGACCTGACTGGGAGGTGGGTCCTGTTCCAAGCTTGTCATTGCACATTTGTAGTTGGTACACCTCGACTTTGGTAACTATGCACATCTTTTGATTTCTGAAACCAAGTCAAGCTTTTTTTTTTTTCCCCCTTTGGAAGCACTATTGCATCAGGAACTACCAACAATATGGTTTATTTTAATGGTGTTTAGGGGTGGGAGAGGATGGAAGCATTTCACACCACACACATGTGCACACAAACACATTCCCATGCAGACAGACACATGTATGAGGATTCACAGCACCTATGTTAACAAGGAGGGATACAACTGGGAAAAGCTTTAAAATTTTTGATTGTCTATTTTATCATTTATATTGATAGAAGGCACTTAAAGATGGAATAATTTATAAAAATATATTGATGTATAGAAACTAATTTCTATAGGTAAAATGTTTTTGTGAAGATATTTTGTAAAGATTAATTAATTGAAAGATTAAATATTTACACCCTTGTGCGACTGTCAAATGTAAAGAGGACCATCAAGTTGCATTATACCTCTTCCATAACAGATTCTCTATTATTAATGACAAGCAAGAAAATTCCTTAAATAGTAGTTGCCATCTTTTTTTTTCTTTCAATGTAATCCTCTCCCTTGCCTCTATTTAATCATGATGAACTCCTGTGGAAAGATCTCTTGAACTCACTGCCCTGTAGGAATTTTCTGAACACAAAAGGATAATGCATCTTTGAGAGGGACAACTATTCAGAAGCAAAATGCCTGTGCTTAAATGCAGCTAATAATTTCTCTCTTAGGAAGGAGGCATCCTAAATCCCCAAATGTTTTATGGCTCTTCCTGTTTCCCTCAGGGAAATAACAAAAGCATTTGATCTTCCCTCTCTTTGCAGCCAGGTCACCAACTAACTTGTATCTTCATTCATTTCACAGTCAACAAGGGTCATAAAAGCAAAACTGAGGCAATAGACATTTGTGAGGGATTTGGGGAAAGTCTGTGGAATTGCTGTCTGGGGTGTACAGAAGGGGAGAAGGAGGTATTTTTTTTCTCATTTCACATTGCCCTTCTTTGGTATAGTGATGCCATTCCTCACTGACTTACAAGGGGACAACTGCAACAGATGCTATAACAGTAAAACTGAATTGCCTTTGCTGCTGCTGGACCATGTTCTCTATAAAACCCACACTCCTGCCTCTGCTGCACTGCAGGAGTGCAATGCTTATAGCTGGTGGCTACAGCAGCCCTAATGCTTACGGATGTCTTAAGGGCAAATGCTAAATAGACTCCTCTGGCACTTGTCTGTTTGAAGCTTACACTTGTACACCCTGTCCAGCTGACAGGGCTGCCCAGCCACCCTCCGCGCACAGCGCGACGAGCTGGGTGTGTGCAAAAGCCACCAGCGGTGACAGGGTTAAAAACACGGGCATTTTACTGGCTCTTGAGCTGGCCTCTCATGCTTACTGCCCAACTATGGTAACTCTGAGAAGTTCACACTTCTTTAACTATTTTTCTTGCCTGGTCAGCACAGCTTTATAAACAAGGGTTTCAGTTAAGTCTCCAGAAGAGCTTTGTAACCAGAAGGGCTATAAACCTTTTTTTTAAAATATTAATTAATGAATGCTTTGATTTTGGATAATTCTGCAGAAGTCCACAGAGTGACCCCAGATCTTTGGAAGCCATGGATTTTTCCATGCTAGCAAAATACTATTGCCCCAGGTTCGGAAATAGCCCACCAGACCTGAAAAACCAAGTATCCTAAAGCAGGAACTTCATTCTAATTTTCAGCTCTGTTTTTAAGCAATCAATCACATCTGCTTCTTTGTTTCTTAGTTCAGCATGCAGCCTTTTATGGTACTATCCTACTAGTAATTGTTTTGCTTTGTCATGTGCTGTGCTTTACAGTGAACAGTAACACTACGGCTGAGTACAATCAATTTTTCCATCAGTCCTTGGTTACTGTAGTAACATTATTTATTTTTCCCTGTCGGTTGTTTGTGCTTCCATTTTAGAGTTGACATTGCACTTCTTCTTTTTTTTTTTTTTTTAAATAAAACATATATTTAAAAACAAATCATCAAGAGAATCAGTGAGAGGTCTTATTTCCCGTAGGACTTGTACTCCCATTTGTTTTGTATGTTGATGTTTTGCGCTCCATGTTGCAGCATCCTAAGAGCTGCAGTCCATTTTTTGCATTGCAGCTGTTCAGATCATACTGGGTGGTAGTGGGAGGAGGAAGAAAAGCATAAGACTCATGAAAAATTACATCTGGTGAAAAAGAAGAAGTCCAAACTCACAACCCACAGCAATTGGCACCTGACTCCATATTGGTGCTAACACAGCTTAGCATAATCAGATTCCTTTTCTGTCCATGTAAAAGACTTGGGAGCATCTAACCATGAGACCAATGCAAATGCTGGACCCTTTAGGAAAAGTGCCAGATCACACCCCTGGTGCTATAGCTCATGTTCTGGCACAGTGTGTAGCACCATAGGGTCTAAGCAGAATCAAAATTATCACAGCTTTTTGTCCACCCATGAATGATCACAATGACATCTCGCTAGCTTTGTGCAGATGTGCAATATTACAACTTAATTATTTTTCCTTGCCACAAACAAAAAAAAAAAAAAATCTTCCATGCACTGACTCATTGAGAGCTTGCTAACAGGGCTCAGTGGAGTGGCACTTCTTCACTGGTCTTACAGTCTGACCATCAACCAGTGGAAGACCCTCTTTCTTGCTTAATCCCCCTTCCCACAGAGGTACCCTGTCCATGCTAGCGCTTTGTAATTTCTTTGGTAGAAAAGGCTTTTTCTAGATCAATATTCTGTGATGTAATTGTGTTTGTAGCTAGCATGGTTTTATGCTCTGGTGTGGATAGGGTCCTAAGAACCACTTGGTGAAAGTCAAGGATAGGAAATCTCTCCATTGCACTGAAATTACAAATCCTCATCCTGGAGAGCAGTGTGGTACCTGAGCTAATAACCACTACGAGCCAGCAACAGTGTCCTAGGTATACAGCACCCACCTACCTATTTACATTTGTTTTCTATTGAGAAATTGTTGGCATTACACCTTCACTGTTACTCGCTCATCAGCAGCCAGTCAAATTGTATTTTTGTTTTGGATTTCTTGTGTTTTAGTTTTTGTTTTTCAAATTGTTTCCCTGACCAGAGGATTCACTGAGTGAAAACACATGAGGATATTTGTAGGAAAAACCGTGTTGAGGAAAAAGTATCAACCTCCTTTTTCAGATGCAGATTTAAAGCCATAATATCTGCCGTGTTCACAGAAAGTGGTCTTTTATCCTTCACAGCTTTTAATCTCAATATTTTCCCTCTTGAACATTTTTGCCTGTCATGTTATGCATGTGGTTCACTGTGCAACTGCATTCAAGTGCGCAAGCCCATTCCTTGGTGGAATAAACTTTTTTCTTTACCATTAAAAATCAGACATTTTGTCAATTGGTTCAGAAATAAGGATGAAGTTATTAAGCTAAAAAAAGAAAGTTTCCATTCTAGGACACAAATCAGCATCAAAGCTGACAACAGATAACATCTAAAATCTATCCAGCATATAGCTAGCCTAGATCCTCAGCTGGTGGAAATCTCCTCTGATTTCAATGGAGTCCATCCCATTTATACCACCTGAAGTTAAACATCCATCCTCCTCATCACAGATTTTTTTGCACCTCTGTAAAACACCAAGGCCACCTGATCAAACAGCGGCTCAGCACTTTCCATCATTATTTACTGCTTATTTTACTGTAACACCCAGAGGGCCAAGGCATGGACCAAGATCCTTTTGAGGCCAGTGCTGTGAAATTGGTAACAAAAAGACCCCAAGGGCTGAATGGATTCACAGAAGGCTTCAGCTGCACTGACATCTCACCAAGAGCTATAGGAACTACCACTTCATTGACCCTTGTTGAGACTCTGCCTTTAAGGTGAAAGGCAGGAGAGGCAATCCATCATCTCTTATTCCACATTAGCAGCTTACACCTTCTGGCCCTACAGCACAGGCAACTTGCCCTGATGTAAAACAGCATTTCTGGGCATGGGAGCCAGCATCCTAGGCAAGAACTTTGGTGTGGGGGGAAAAAGGATTTAAAGAAAAGTGGGGGGAGGGAAATGGCAACACTGTTGGCTCTTAGTGGGACAGCCTTTTAATTTCTGGATTTGTGCTCCTAAATTTGAATTGGCCAGTTTGAATTTCTGAGTGCAGCAGCCTGTATGCACCAAGCTGCTCCCTCCAGAACAATGTCCAGCGTGCGTCTCTTTAGCAGGATGTTTCTCAGTCCAGCTGTAGTGTGGGGTACTCAGAATCTGAACTGGAGTTTACAAAACACCCTGTCCAGCTTACACTCCTGTTATGTGTAAATACTCTGCGCATCCATTCCATTTGTGTAAAGAATAAAGCACACACAATTATAAAAATTAAGCTGTATATTTCATACTAGCTGTGTCCTTGCTTATTTATTCCAGTCCAAGCTCTCAGCTGTGGTTCAGTTGTAAATGCTTGATAGAGTGTTTATAAATATGTCATGAATTTTATTATAAAATATTAATATTAAAGCATTTTTACACTTTATAGCAAATTGCTTCTTCACAAGGCATATTTTGTCTTTTTTCCTTGGAGCAGAATAGTAAAAGAGAAATATGCTTTTATTTTGTCTTCAGATATTATCACATCTATCACACGAGACTGACACAAGTCTGGATTTAGCAGGATGGTTTCAAAAATTACTAAGAATAAGACACTTTCTTCCTTCTTGCCCTTTTTATTTCTTTTTTAGTTCACATTGATGTGGAAGTTGCCACCAAGAAAATTCATTCTGGTGAAGTACAGCCACTTTCTCCTTACCACAGTTCTTCTGTGAATTCAGTATCATCAGCATCTTGATGAATAATTACCAGAATATTTTTTATAATTAAAAAATCATTCTATGTTTATGACATTGCTGCACAGCCATGGGGAAAAGGACTGTAATAATTACATTATAACTGCTTCTAAGCAGCTTAGTGGAGCATAAATTCACTTGTGCTATGGGATCCCAACAGCTCAAGAACCTTGGGGTTTGGCCATTCCAGGAATATCTTTGCAGATGGTTTGTGGGCTCCAGGGAGGCCATGTGAACATTTTCAGTCCCCAGTAGAGGCAGTAACAGTATGGGGACACTTTTGACATGGACAGTACTATCTGCAGTCTGCAGAGGACCACAGAGCCTCCACATGGCTCTGGGAGCCACAACTGAGACTGTCGGGAAAAACTCTGTCCACAGGGTTTTACATGTGCAATCACAAGGATGGTTAATCATCTAAACATTCATTGTGATGCTTTAGATTTCTCCAGTAGATTCAAAAGAGGGAGAAAATCCAAACAATTTACATTGAGCAGGATCTCTTATTCAAGTACTTTCTT